CGACTGGAGCGCCTGGCTCACGCCGTTCGGGCGCGGTGGCAGTCGGCGCTTCGACACGGCATTCTTCCTGTGCTGCCTGAGCGAGCCGCCGCCGGTCTATCCCGACCTGTCGGAGGTGGTGGGCTGTCAGGTAGGGCACCCACAGGGACCAGGTGGTAAAGCAGCCCTGGGTTCAATCCCAATAAACGAAGATAAATGAACAAGCAAATAAGTACAGAAGGATGTGTGTAGGTTATATGCAAACACAAAAGATTATACAAAAGACTTGAGCATCTTCAGATTTTGGAATCTGAGGGTGAATAGTCCTGGAATCAAGCCCCCCACAGGTACCAAGGGACAACTGAACTTCTATTTCTCCCCTCCTTTCCTTTGTGCAGTTTTCATACTTTTATTTCTATTAACTGCACAGTTATTTTTGCTTTAGACAGTAGACAAGTCTTTTTTCTCTCTCTCCCAGTACTAGGGATTGAACCAGAAGCCTTGTACAAGCACTCTACCACTGAACTATATTCTCAGACCTTTTTTAAAATTTTGAGACAAGTTCTAAGTTTCCCAGGCTAACCTTGAGCTTTCAATCTTCCTGTTGCAGCCTCCTAAATTTCTGGGATTACAGGTGTGTGCCACCTTCACAGTTTTAGTCAATCTTTTAAAGACTGGAAATAAGGGGGAAAATGTCTTTTGGGTTTACTTGCATATTTACCATGTATACTGCTCTTCACTTCTTTATGTTGGTCAAAAGCTACACCTGGCCATCTATTTGTCCAAAGAACTTCCTATAAATCCCAGTGATTCAAGAGGCTGAGTTCAAAGTCAGCCTTAGCTATTTATCGAGACCCTAAGCAACTCAGCAAAACCCTGTCCTTACTAAAATATAAAAAAGGGCTCTGGATGTGGTTCAGTGGTTAAGTGCCCCTTAGTTCAATACCTGGTACCAAACAACAACAAAAATAACTTCCTATAAAGGATTTTCTATAATATTTCTTATTGTTCAGCTCTTCTAACAATCCTCTAAATTTTTTGATCAGAAAAATACTTTATATTTTACTCTTACTTTTGATGCACATATTGTAGGTGGACCCTTTTTTGATTTTGTTTTTCCCTTTCAGTACTTAGAGATGTTTCTTAATTATATTCTGGCTGACATACATTTTTTATGAGAAGTCTTCTGTTATTATTAATCATTCTCCCCCTACATTTAGTGTGTTTTTGGTGTGTGTGGCTACTTTGAATACTTTCTCTTAGTAATTGGTTTTCAGCAATTTTATCCTGATGTGCATTGCTTTCCTCTCACTCCCTTTCTTTCTATCTTCCTCTTCTCCTTTCTTTCTCTTCTGTTTCCTTTCCGTGTTGGGCATTGGACAGAGAGCCTTACCACTGCTAGGCAAGCTCTCTCTACCACTGAAGAACCTGCCCCCCCCCAGTCCCTATCTTTTCTTACTTGTTCATTTCTTCAAATATTTCACATCTCACCCTATTTTGGGACTTAAATTACACATTTTTTTTTTGTATTGGGTAATTGCATGGGCTCTCTCTTGTCCATCGAGGGGTCCATGGAACAGGAGTTGCTAATCAAGACCTCCTGAGACCAAGCAGGAAACAGATATGAGTTTATTGTGCAGTTACCATGTATGTATACTCAGGCAGTAGCTAAGCAGTTTACAGGCAGCCACCAATACAATTTCTGCTAGCTGTCCTTGCAGCGGTCAAACGAGGAGTGGGCTGTGGAGCAAGTACAGGGACTGCAGCACATGGCCTCACATCAAGAGCTGTGCCTAAGGGGTAAGTGGCCTGCTACTCAGGCACCTAGCACAAGGGGAGTGCCCTGCCACTCAGATGCCCTTAACTTATGCTATGTATGCAGTATTCCATGCACTTGTTCCCACAGATAATAAGGAATGAAACCAGGAGCACTTAGCCACTGAGCCACATCCCCAGCCCTTTTTTGTATTTTATTTAGGTCTCACTGAGTTACTTAGGGCCTTGCTAAATTGCTGAGTCTGGCTTTGAACTTGTGATCCTCCTGCCTCAGCCTCCCGAGCCCCCTGGATTACAGACATGCACCACCATGCCTGGCTCAGTTACATATCTGAGGCTACTTGATAATGTTCCATTGGTTATTAATGCCTCATTTGCTTTTTTCAATCTTTTTTCCTCTGTATTTCATTTTAATACATTCTATTGCTGTTTTTAAATTTACTCTTGTGAAGTATCTAATCTGCTGTAAATACAATCCAAGTGGATTTTTCATTTTAGATATTATTCACCTCTAGAAGCTCCATTTATTATTTAAAAGTATTTTCTATTTCTCTCATCATGTGGGTATTTTAATTTACAGCTTTGAACCAGTGAAATATACTTATAATGGGAGGGGGTTAATGATCTTTTCTGGCTGGATGCAGTGGCTCAGACCAATAATACTTCAGTGATTCAGGGCTGAGACAAGTTCAAGACCAACCTAAGCAATTTAGTGAGATATAGCTTAGTGGTAAAGCATCCCTGGATTCAATCTATAGTACAGACAAAAAATAAACTTCTCTTCAACTCCATGTTATTTGTAATTTCTTGGTCTTTTATATTGACTGATTTCTTCTAGTTATGGATCACATTTCCTACTTTTGTCATGTCTTATAATTTTTTATTAGATGTTGGAAATTTTCATTTTATGTTGTTAAGTGCTGGATTTTGCCATATTTCTTTAGATGGTTTTGGCAACATTTACAACTTAATACTTTTGAGATTTATTTTAAATGATTTTAGAGTGTATCTACAGTATCCTTTAATTTAGAGCCAATTTAGCCGCACTTCCATTGTGTGACTGGTCTGGAGTTTATTTGAACGCTCCTTGTATTGAATGGTTGGAGGGAATTTGAAAAATTCTTGGCCCTAAATGAGCTCTGGGAATTTAGTCTTAAGCTTCTAGGTAATCCTTGTATCCTTGTTCTTCTTCCCCCTTCTCTCTGTTCCTCCCCCTCCCCCTTTTTAATGTTTTAGTTGTGGGTGACACTACCTTTATTTTGTTGTTACGTGGTGCTGAGGGTCAAACCCATTGCCTCATGCATGCCAGGCCACAGTCACAGCCCCACTGAGCCACAGTCACAGCCCTAGTCGTTACTTCTTCTGATATCTTTTCCAATACCATATTGTTTCACCTTCTGCATGGCCAGATGTGTGTTTAGCAAAGATTCAAGGGTGCTCTATACAGATTTTCTATTCTGTGTAGATCCTTCCTCCTAGGTCCACTGTGTCCAAATGCTAGCCTGTGTGAGCTTCCCAAATTCTGATTTCTGTCTTCTCAAGTCTTCAAGAATCCTAGACTCTGATTAGATTCTCTCTCCTTGTCCTATATTTTTAGGCAGAAACCCCAGACAATGGTAGGGTTCACCTCATTCATTTTTCTTTTCTGAGAAATTGTAGTACTGCTTTTTTCAGTGTCTGGAAATAGTTGTTTCATAGATTTTTATCCTGAGCTCTACTATTTAATTGGCCAAAGGAGTATAATTCAAACTCTCATGCTTGGAAGAGGAGGTTCCAATAAACAGTTCTTTTGAGATGGACCTCACTGTCTTGCCCAGGCTGGTCTTGAACTTGTGGAGTCAATGATTTTCCCACCTCAGTTTCCTCAGTGCAGGTGCTTTAAATGTACACCACCATACCCGGCTAGTAATTCTTAAGCTAGCTTAGATGAGTGGTTCTTAAATGGGGGTGATCCCCCCACCAAGGGTACACTTGGCAATGTCTGGAGCCTTTTTTTTTTTTGGTTGTCACAATTGGGGGGTTGTTACTGCCATCTAGTGGGTAGAGCCCAAGGATGCTGCTGGTATCCCTGTTTCAGTGGGTACACAGCAGCCCTCAACAAAGACTTTTGGCCTGGTGTCAGTTGTGTTGAGGTTCAAAAATCTAGTAGAAACAGTGGAATTTGGAGTCAGATACCCCAAGAGTTTGAAACCAAGATTTTCTAGTTAGAGGAGCTACCTAAATGTTCTCATCTGTAAAATGGGACTTTGCAGCATTATCCTAAGGACTAGAAATATTTTATATAAAGCATTTTGAGCAGAGCTTTACTGGTAACAAGTAAGCAATAAATGATAACTTATCATAACTGATGGTCTAGAATAATCTGAAGAGGTTGGATTAAGTGGAAGATGACTATCACCTTGCCTGTTGTCGAACTCACAGGACAGAGAAATCAGAATGCCCTGGAAATAACTTAACGATTGGGTAACTTGGAGACCCAGAGCTTTGATTTTCAAATTGCAGCCTTGGCCAACTTCAGAATGATCCCTCTACCTGGGCCCTCTACCAGAGCCAAAGGGATATAAAGATTTATCAGGCCTCTTGGGATAATTGAGCACATACAGGTTCACAAACCTTTGATTTTGACTATGGAGTCGCCTAAGGCAGAGGTCAGTTTTAACTCTGAGTTTGGGGTGGGGGGGCCGTTAGAAAAACTCAGTCCTGGTGAATGAGAACTGGCCACCAAAGGAGGAAGGTGCCTAAAGACCAAAGAAAAAGGCAGGCAGATCCAGCATTGCACAAAGTTGGAATTTATTAGGAGCTTCCACATGTCTTGGGCTGCAACAGGACAAGAGGACTCCTTGCATTCCAGGGCAGGAGGAAGGAGTTTATATGCTAAAATAGAAGAGGGTGGGCTGTGGCTCAAGTGGAATGGACTGGGCTTTCTCAAAAACTATTACTGTGTCATATGTCAGTTAAGAAACAGGTGCAGTGATACATGCTTGTAATCTCAAGTGCTTGGGTTGCTGAGGCAGGAGGATCACAGATTGCCCAGGCTGCCTAGGCAATTTATCAAGCCCTGATCTCAAAGTAAAAAAAGGGCTGGGATGTGGCTCAGTGGTAAAGCACTCCTGTATTTAATCCCTAGTACCATAGAAAGAGAAAAAAAAAAAAGGAGTGGGGAGAGGGAAAAGGAGGGAGGGAGGGAGGAAGAGAGGAAGGGAGGGAGGGAGAGAGGAAGGGAGGGAGGGAGGGATGGTGGGTGGGTTTGGTTATCGGTGGGTGGCTAGGGCCTTTGGGAGTTTTTCTGTACTCCTGAGTCACTCTTTTTATCTCAGGGTCTGTGAAGGAAAGCTGTGGCAGGAGAGCAGTTTGCCCCACTTGAATTTAATGGGCAGACCCTGTCTGGCTGAAACTCTACAGTTATTAGTCTCTGGACTGTAGGCTGAGGCTGCTTCTTGACCTTCCTGAAAGCTCCTATTGTTCCTGATTCTTCACCTCCATTGTAGTGTGTGTCATACATCATGATGTATTTTGGTGGCTAAAAGCCCTATAGTGTCTCTTTTAGAGTTTTGTCCATCATTTCTTCAGGCCAAGCCAAGGTACCCGTTTATGGGAGGAATGAAGGCATCAAATTCTCAATCTACCGTCAGAAGTTTACCCTTCAGTCTTCCTTTGGGAATGAACAGAACCACTATAACCCTTCCACATCTTCTTCCTTTTATGAACAACTCCCAACTCAATCCTTAGTGATCCGTCCTGGTTCACTGACCTTGGCTGGGGTCAGTGCTCCAGTAATCAACCTCTTAAGAGGATCAGCACAGCTTTCTTCTCTGGATCTTTTTTTTTTTTTTTAATAGAGCAGGTCTTGCTATGTTGCTCAGGCTGGTCTTAAACCCCTCTAATTAAGCCATCCTCCTGCCTCAGTCTCACAATTAGCTGGGACTACTGTATGTGCCACTGCAACACCCTCCCCCAATGTTTCCTTTGTTTCAGAGGGATCTAGCAAGGCACTTTAATGACATAATAAGATATAAAATTATAAGTAGATCCTATGCATTAACCTAGCAATCTATTTGATGGAAGCCCTACCTTTATCTTCCACAGTGGTCTTCTCCATCAGAGGCAACTAAAAGTTTCATATCAAAAGAAATTTGGCTGGCGCCCCCACAGTTCTACGAAGTAAGACGACTTGAAAACTTTGCCTCTCTGTCTGACCTGCATAAATTTTGTTTGGATCGTGCCTTAGAAGAGGTTGAACGGTGGCTGCCGATTACATATTTAACTGCTGATGGGATGCTCCAGCTTTTACCTGGTAAGTCAGTGAAGCAGCAAAACATTTTGTCAGTATGCACAGTCACTGGGCTGTCTGGCAGTATTACCCAGCACAGAGATATGAATTACACTTAAGTTGTTTAGCCTACAAGGTATTAATTAAATAGAGCCAAAGTCTGTAAAACATCAGTGGTATTTATATAACCAGAAATTCTGAATGACATCACATACACATTTATATAGGTATATTTTTGGGGGGTTACTGGGGGGGTTGAACTTAGGGGCAACTCAACTCAGCTCTATTTTGTATTTTATTTAGAAACAAGAGTCTCACTGAGTTGCTTTGCACCTTGCTTTTGCTGAGGCTGGCTTTGAACTTGAGATTCTTGTGCTTTAGCCTCCTGAGCAACTGGGATTACAGGCATGGGCCACTGTGCCCAGCTTATAAGTACATTTTGTAGACATTGACAAATTTCTTTCTCATGTATTCATATCTCACTTTATACAGTTTATTTTTTAAAATTTTTTTAGTTGCAGATGGACACAATACCTTTATTTTGTTTATTTTTATGTGGTGCTGAGGATTGAACCCAGTGCCTCACACATGCCAGACAAGTGCTCTACCACTGAGCCACAACCTGAACCATAATTTTGAATTATGAGAACTTGTAAGCTGCCAACTAGAGTTATGGTCTTTTAACCATACAGTATGCCATGAGTATAAAATTGAGGTAGGATATTTGTTGATGGTCGATTGTAGTTTGGCGAACACAGTTTTGTGGCAGGGATTTTGTGACCTATGATACTTTATATCTGCCTGCTCAGCTCCTGAGAATAGTGATAAGATTTGTTACTCAACCTATAGTTTGGCAGTTTTGATGTAAATAACAACTTCTTTAAATTAACCTTATCAGAACAGCCCATATAGAAATATCAAAAGTATGACTGTCAAGATCAATATCAATGTCAGTATTTAATACACTAAAGAGAGTCATGAACTAATATAAAATTTACAGTTCACAATGAAGAACATTTCAGTCAGAAATTTTTATGTGCTCAAAGAAAATTCTTGGGTAGAGGATAAGGGGAGGGTGAAAATATTAAAAATATGAGAAAAAATTAATATAAACTTGTAAAACTAGGGTTATTTAACAACTTAGTTCCAAATGCATGAAATAGATAAAAATAAATACCAATTTATATGTCATTAATATATTTGAATGATTTATAAAATGATACTTTATAGATTTAAGTTTTTATTGTTTTTCAGGAGATGAGCTGTACCTAGAAGATTCAGACTATGTAGAAAAGTCTTTGTCTACTGAAAAAACAACTAAAGAAATCATGAAGGAAGGCAAGAAATTTCACCGAATAGTGATACACAATCGCCATCTTTATGAGGTCCATGTGACTGTTCAGTCAAAGTGTAAACATGTTTATCCTAAGAACTACATAATAAGTAAGAGCCATTTGTAGGGAGCTACTTCTAAATTGGTTGACTAAAGTTGTTTGAAAATTATATAACTTGGTGCCTGTGCAAGCTATCATGGTGTGTTTCTTCTTTTAAGTGTGTTGTGGAGCTCTCTTGCTTATTTTATTCTTTTAATCATTCAGTATGCAGTGAGTATAAAATTGATATGTTACCAAAATGAGAAAAAAAAAGTCACAAGGGGCCCTACTTCTGTATTGTTTTATTAGCCTAAAAGTTTAAATAAGATGTTCTATTGCCATTGTTTCAATTGTCTCACATATTAGCATTTTTCCTGATGTGCTTTGGAAGTTGAACCATGAATTTCTTAGACTTTCTGCTGAAATTAATTTAAGAGTGCCTGACTGGATGGCAAACACTAGACTGAGACACCCTTCAAGTGATAATGCCATTGTTTTCTTGCTATTGTCTTTAGCTTGATTACTAAGATCCAATCTGTTTAAAACCAAGTGGCATTAGTATAATATATTATGTTTTCCAAATTGGAAATCTATTTTAGTTAATATTTTAAAGAAGTATGAAGCCATACAAACCTATCAACTTTTTATGTTATTAAGTGCTGGTTAATAAATACAGAGAGAGAATGTTAAATTAGGTTTATTTTCAGTATGGTTAATATAGATAGTGTTTTCACTTCCTTTAAAGAGGTATAATTTTTTTGCTGATTAAAGGTGGGAATTAATAGTTAAAAACACCAATTCTTTTTCATTATATTTGACTATATTATGCATAACACAATAGATTTCTTATTTTCTGAAATTTCTTAGTTTTTCTAACAACCAAATAAAGGCAATGATAAAACTTATGTGTATTATTTAATCCTGATTAGAGGAATGTATCTAGAGCAGTGGTTCTCTACCTGGGCACTTTGGCCCTTGGGTCAACTGGCTATTTTAGGCATTTCTGTTTGTCACAACTGAGGAGGGGATACTACCACCATCTAGTGGAGAGAGACCAGGGATGCAGTTAAATAACCGGCCTGAGACAAAGAGTTGTCTGGCCAAGGCTGAGAAACACTGATTTCAAGTCAATTTTACTTGTTTTAGTAAATGGTCCCGATAGGTGAAGTATGAGAACCACAGACATAGTTGTCATTCCTTCTGGCTTCTGAGTCTACTATAACTCTCCTTAATGACTTTTAGCCTTGGGCTTAGTCTTTCATTCTCAGAGAATACTAGAATGTTACAGGGAAGGAACCAAAGGAACCTGTATACTCCATGATTTTTTCAAGTGAGAAAACAGATTCATGCAACTAGTTAGTGCTATAAGCAGGGGAAGAACTTTACCCCTAACTCTGCAACACTTTTCACTGGAGTTACTATGACTGATTTTAGATGTCATGAAAAAATTATGTGACTTTTTTTTTCATAGAAAAGATAGTTTAACTCAATATTGTTAATCTGAATGAAACTTGTCCCCCTGGAATTCTTTCTGGGCAGGCATAGTGGCACATCCATGTAATCCCAGTGACTTGGGAAGCTGAGGCAGGAGAAATCACAAGTCAGTCTGGACTGATTGGTGAAATCCTGTCCCAAAATAAAGTATAAAGGGCTGGAGGTGTAGCTTAGTGGCAAAGCACTCACATAGCAAGTGTGAGACCCTGGGTTCAATCTCTAGTATGTTGGTGGGGTGGGGAGACACAAAAATATTTCCTTTTCTTCAACTGATCACATGACTTCCTATCTGCAGTTGACACACTGCCCCAGCAGCCCCAAATAAAGCCGCTGAAAAGTTATGTTGTTTTAGAGTCTAGCTTGTGTTTGTGGCATTAATCATATGAACTCTTACTGGATGGCTACCAGGGCCTCAGGTACAAAAGCAGAAAGATGAAGACTTATCCCTACTCCTCCTCTTTAATTCTATCACTACTCCATGCTAAACTGTGCAGGAAAACACAACCAGAAAAACTTGTCTTCTATGATATCACACATCTCTTGAAACTATACTTATAAGCTAAAGAATACATGCCTAGTTGGCATGTGTTTTCATTTCATGTTGTGACAAAAGTTTCAAAACAACATACTATAGTATGGGATCTAGTCAAAAAAGAGAAAAGGGCAGTCATGCTACCAAGTGGGTATAAATCTGGATCTCCAGGGCTTAGGGATTGGAACTGTCACTGGGACTGACCAGAATCAAATCCTATTGCCCCCACTTTTTTTTTTTTTTTCGTACTGGGGACTTAAAACAAGGGGTGTGGGTGAGTGTTTGAGGTGGGGTTCTACCACTGAGCTATATTCCCAGCAATTTGGAGACAGGGTCTCCTTAAATAGCCGAGATTGGACTTGAACTTGTGATCCTCTTGCCTCAGCCTCCCCAGTAGCTGAGATTACATCTGTAGGCCATTGCAGCCAGCTTCCCATCTCTTTTGATAAGGTTTAGTGCTTTCAGGTGAAGTTGTTTTTCTCCTGGCAGTCACACACCTATCCTTTCCGACCATCCTTCTTCTGAGATTTAAAGCATATATTCGTGGCACCTTGTGAAATTAAGTTTTAAAACTGGAAGCTTATGTGATTGCTCTGTTCTTAAATACATGGCCACACAATTTCCACAATCCCTCTCTCAACTGGAGGCCATGTTGTTGGTTCTCTTAGCCAATGAGCCCACTTTAGTGTAAACTTAAGAAATTTTGCTTTCTCATAATTTAAAGAAAGAATTCAGCTGCAGCAGGGAACAGTGGCATACTTCTTCATCCCTCAATTCAGAAGGCTGTGGCATGAAGTCGAGGTCAAGGCCAACGTGGGCAACTTAGTGTGAACCATCTCAAAAATGTAGCTCAGTGGCAGAGCACTTCCCTAGCGCACGCCAGGCCCTGAAAAAAAAGGGGGGGGGGAACAGGTGGGCGGGAGAAAATAAAAAGAAAAAAGAAAAGAATTGAGCTGGAAAATCATCTAGACCAGCACCTTTCTTCAGCTAGGTTCCACTGGAAGGCCAGGTGGCTGCAAAGACCGGGCGCAGTCTTGCCGGAAGGTGTAGGGCAGGTGGGAATGTTGTCAGGGACGCCCCCGGACCAGGAGTCCTCCTCACCACCAAGTCTGCGAGCGAGAGTCGGGTATCTTTCAAGGACGGACCCCGGGGTGGTGAAGCGGAGGAGGCTGCTCTAGAC